TAATCTTCAGTAGAATCTTGCTTGCATGTGAAATCAATGAGATTGTTCTATAGTTTCCACACTCTGTTGGGTCACCCTTCTTTGGAATGGGAACAAAAATCTCTTCCAGTCAGTTGGCCAAGTGGTTGTTCTCCAGATTTCTTGGCACAACTTGGTGAGCACATCCAGGGCAGCATCTGTTAGCTGAAATGTGTCCATTGGTATACCATCTATTCCGGGGGCCTTATTTTTTCCTATTTCCTTCATAGCAGCCTGAACTTCTTCCTTCATCACCATAGGCTCTTGCTCATATGTTGTTTCATTAAATTCTTCTGTGTCTGCCAATTCCTTTTGGTACAGTGATATGGTCTTTAAGCATTGTAATTAGATGTTGCTGTTGTTATGTGACTCAGTTGTCTCTCCAGTGGGTTTTCAGATGCTGTAAATCATACAGGAGACGATGGCTTATATTTCTCCCACAGAGCTACTGCTGGATTTGACTTGCCTGCTTTTGTGTTGGAAACGCAGCTCCATATTCACAGAGCTCCCTATAATTCTTTAGTATAGAGTGGGACTAACTGATGGTTTCTCAGAGTGTAATCTCTAAGCTTGCACACTGGCACATCTTACTGTAGCAGAGTATGCTACGAGGTCAGACTACCACTGTTTTGGTTGGCAGCAGAGTGCTTTAAACCCAGCGCTTATTCTATTATTGCTAGTTTCATAGATTTATTATGTACTTTGTGTACAAGTTAACATAGGTTTACAGGAAAATAGTTCTCCTGCCTGGCTCCCCAAAAAATTTGAGGAAGGTTGTAAATTGTGATTTCTAGTTAATTTTTGTGTTTCAGCCTGGTTTCCACAAGGAAGAAGAGGAAAATAATAGCTTGGTGTTCACGCATTTCTTGGTACAGGATTTGTCTTTTGGAATACGCTGGGAAACATATTTTGAAATTTTAAATTTTTTAAGTTTCCAAAGGTATTATTTTAGAAGTTATCCTAAGGTTATTTTTTCTTCTAAATTGCTTTTAAGAGAGTAGTAGTGACTTGTGAATTTAAGAAATATTTTAAAAATACTTATTGCATATGCAGTAAGTATTCTTGTTTATACAATCATTGTTTGCTTTGCCAAGAGTGTGAATGAAAGGAACACCATTTGGACAGTTTTATGCTTTTCATCCCTCTGGAAAAAAATGTAACCTAAAGGGGGATTCTCTTTTTCCCTCTTGTTTCACAATAGTTAATAATTGATTTTGAATATATATGAGTAGTAAAACATTCCATTTGATATTTGGTGTACTATCTTTACAGCATTATCATATGCCATCTTACTTTAAGTGACCATATTTTTATATAGTTGGTAATTGTTGTGATGAAATTTTGTATATATATAAAGTCATAGAGATGGATGTTTACATAAGCATTAGTATATAAACATAGGATATGCTTCACTTCATTGTCCTTAGCAGGTAGTCAGTATTTTATATGCAGAAGTTGGAGATTTGTATTGACCCTGTGTTGAGTCTCTGGGTACCATTTTTCCAGTAGCATGTGCTCACTTAAAGTCTCTGTCTTGTTTGTGTTATTGCATGTGTTCTAAACTGCCAAAGCCTACTACCATCTACTTGGTTCTGACTCAGGGTTATTTCCATTGGCTTTCTGAGAGGATGTAAATTTATATATATATATACACACACACACACATATAAAATACTTTTTTTCTTGATGGTTTAAAAATTTGAAGGTTTATAAAGAATTGATTTTTTAAAAATTTACAAAGTTTTTTAAAAATTTTTATTGTATTATTTTTACGTGTACCGTCAAATCAGATCTGACTGGTACAGGAGGAGATTGCCCCTCCTCCAGCAGAGCATCTGGTGGATTTGAACCATGTACCTCTGGGATTGCAGTGCAGCATCTTACCACTAGGCCACCAGAGCTCCCTAAAAATTTATAAACATTTTTGTTTAGAACATTCATTACCATTCATGGATGCTGTTAGTTACATTTTCTGATTAACTGCTTATTGTATATGGCTTTTCTTTTTATTCTGTCATCCATTCGAGAATATAAATCTCCGTGGGAGGGAGATTGGCTCAGCCCCCCCCCCCCCTTATTAGCATAGTGGCTGATGGATTCAAACTACTGACTTTCCAGTTAGCAACCCATAATGTAATGGACTGCACCTTCAGGGCTCCTTGGATAGAGTGCAGTATAGTTTAAACATACATAGTGGCTGATGGATTCAAACTACTGACTTTCCAGTTAGCAACCCGTAATGTAATGGACTGCACCTTCAGGGCTCCTTGGATAGAGTGCAGTATAGTTTAAACATACATCCCTTCTATATATATGTTCTGTGAAACCAAAATATTTGTTTGACTCACCTAAATGCAGTGTTCACTTATTTGAATGATGTGGAACCAAACCTGCATATCAGTATCAAAGTTTACTCTCTATTTTAGGGGTGGAGATAAGGCTAGCAATCTAGGGTGATGCATAGTTTGGTTGATTTAATAAAACTGCCGAAGAGAAAGGTATCACTGATCTCCGCTTGTATATTTGATTCTCTTATTTTTCTCACATAATTGTCTGCAGAAATTAGAGCCGTGGTCATCTTGTGAGTAGGGAGCTGTAGAGGCCTAGTGGTAAGGAGCTGTGCTGCCAGCTTGAAAGATGTGGTTTGAATCCACCAGCTGCTCTTTGGGAGCTAGATGGGAAGTTTCCTTCAGTGACATTTACTGCCTCTGAAAACCCATTAGAGGGTCAGCTGTGGGTAGGTTCTGACTCACAGCAGCAACTTTATATAATTTTGCCAGTAAAATGGGAAAGTAGACTTGAACATGATAAATAGAAGTAATTGTCATTCTTAAACATCTTAATTTGGGCGTTAAGAAAGTTTATTCAAGAGAGGATATTTTAAGTAGATACAGATTTAAGTTTTGTTTGTGTATTTTTTTTTCCCCCTCAGCCAAGCCAAATAGGAAGCTAACTTTTCTCTACCTAGCCAATGATGTCATTCAGAACAGCAAAAGGAAGGGGCCGGAGTTTACAAAAGATTTTGCACCCGTTATAGTGGAGGCTTTTAAGCATGTTTCAAGGTAAGATGATTGTTTTGAATACTCTATAATCTGTTTAAATACATATTAAGTCCTTCGCTAAAATTTGTCTTAAGCTATTACAATATAAAAACAGAATGTATTTCTTTGAGACTTTCATTTTAAAAGACCTGCTTATGAATGACATTTGTAACTCTATTAAGTGCATTCTATGAAGAAAAAAGTTATTTATTTGAATGAGAGTTTACGGATCATATTTGTTTTTTATTCATATACATTTTGTTTGATAACATTGTGAGAAAAAACTGTGAACTGATAAATTGGACATTTGGAATACTCAGTTGAGGCACAGCTTTCCTTTAGGAAGAAATAATTATTTTAGAGGAAATAATTGCCTGCCAGAATGACTTAATTTATTGTTAATTAAGAATATTGAAGTATATGACTGTATTGAAAAATCTGTGTACTTTAAAAGCTTTCATTCTTCAACCAGTGTTCTTAGAGAAACTTAGTCCCCTTTCATACTTTTCATACAGTATGGATGGAAAGGTAACCATTATGGCAGCTTCCTGGTCTCAGGCATGAGTTTGGGGGTTTATTTTTCATAGACTAGGTAGTTCTTAGAAGTTGGAGAGCATCAAGGTCTAATTTACATTACCAGCATGCTTTGTAGATCATCAAATGAAAGAGTAAAAGCTGGAAACTGGTGAGATGATTTGTCATAATTTTTTTTTTACATAGTTTTATCACTTTGATAATTGGCTATTAGTTTGCATCCACATTGACAGTATATAGATTTTTTAAAGTGGTGATAGGTACATAGGTAACCAGTGTATACAACTTGTTTGGGGAATCTTAATCCTCTTTATGTTTTCTCGACAACCATACATATATGCAGTATGGGATATTCTTTATTCCTTTGACCCAGACAGCTTTGTTAAGCCTGGTATCAGTGCAAACATCAGGAGTTCCAACCTTCATTGCAAATTTCCGGATCTCTTTGAATGCCCAAGGGGCATGCCTCTTAAATCCCACTCCATGGATGTGCTTTTGAATATTGATGGTGTGCTTGCTGGTCACTACTTCGTTGATGGCTGAATGGCCTTTCTTCTTCTCGCCTCCCTTCTTTGCAGGGGAGGAGGCGGGGGCAGAGCATTGGGACCAGGCTGGAAAGGAAGAGGGCAAAGGATTGTGAGATTTGTCATAATTTAAGCAAGACATAATAGTGATGACTTCCATGGAGGTAGTAGTGAAGGAGATAGGAAGTGGTTGAGAATAGTTCTTCTTTCCCATTTCCTTGTGTATCCAAATTGTCACAACTCAGATTAAGTATTATTTCCTCAAAGAAAACTTCTGATCTATTTTAAGCAAGGCTGAGTATCTCCTTTGTGTCCTACAGTAAGACCTGTTTTCTTTTAAGCTATTTATAAATAACAGCTTCCATAAAGCTTCATTTGTGTCCTCAGCTTCATGGATGATGTTTTGATCCATTCAGTATTTGTTGAATGAATTAATAAATCACCAATTAGAAAGCTTTCTTTACCCTGACGTTGTTGTTGTTGATTGCCTTGAGTTGAGCACAACTTATAGTGACCCCATGAACAAAAGGCTTGAAGCCCCTCTACAACTATCGACATTTATCAAAGTTCATAGAGTTTCTGGAGACATGTTGTTTAGGAAGTAGATGCCACTCCTGCCCCCATTAAATTTGAAAACTCCCCAAAGCAAGTCCTAACACTTTGATGGTGAATTGGAATTTTTTGAAATATGATTTCTTTTTAATTTTTTTAAATTGTATTATTTTTACGTGTACCATCAAATCAGATCTGACTGGTACAGAAGGAGATTGCACCCTCCTTCTTCAGCAGAGCATCTGGTGGATTTGAACCGCGTACCTCTGGGATTGCAGTGCAGCGTCTTGCCACTAGGCCACCAGAGCTCCCCTGAAATATGATTTCTTTAGGGAGCTCTGGTAGCTTACTGCAAAAAGATTGCACTGCCATTAAAGAGGTACACAGTTCAAATCTGGAAGCTGCCCTGTGGGAGAAAGAAGAGCCATCTCTTCCCATACAATTTACTGCCTCTGAAAATCCACTGGAGGGTCGGCTGTGGGTTTGTTCCAACTCAACTATACACAGCAACAATGAGTTCTTTAAAGAAAGTCAGAAGTGATTATGTCTTGATCACTTCACCCTTTAACTGCTTACCACAGAGTTAACATTTGGATAGTTTTCCCCAGCAAATGAATGACTGATTATATTTAAAAATCACCATTACCTTTTTTTGTTTTTACCATTACCTTTTAAAAATTATTATTTTTTTATTTTATATTGATTTGGATACAAAATTTCTATACATAGTGTTGCATTCATATACATTGTTTCACACATTCCCTCTTCACATTGTGTTTCATACAGTCATTCCCATACATTCTGTTTTATAAAATTAATGACCATTGATCCATGCCCACTATCACCTGGTCCTTTCAGACCACTACCTTTTAAATAGTAATATACATATATATATATATTTGCCCTTTTAATAGTTTGGCTTTTTCTTTAGTGAAACTGATGAAAGTTGTAAGAAACATCTTGGAAGAGTTTTATCTATCTGGGAAGAAAGATCTGTTTATGAAAATGATGTACTAGACCAACTTAAGCAAGCTCTGTGTAAGTATGCAGGTTTTTAAAAAAATTAATTTCTTTAATAAATAGGTTCTTTCCTTTAAATGTAAATATTCTTTCATTTCAGATGGTGATAAGAAACCTAGGAAGCGAACTTATGAACAGATAAAGATAGATGAAAGTGAGAACTGTTCTTCCCTGGGATCTCCAAGTGAACCACCACAGGTAAAAGAATTAAAAAAAATTTTTTTTTAATTAATTTTAATGAAAGTTTATAGAGACTTAGGTTTCCAGTCATTCATTGTTGCACTATTCTCCCTACCCACCCCCAGGTAAAAGAATTTTTACAAGAATTATTTTATTAAAAGAATTTTGTTAAACTTTTTGTGGCCTCTGAGCCTTATTAATTTTGACATTTTATTGTGGCTTAGGTGAAAATTTACAAAAGAAATTAATTTTCCATTCAGCAGTTTATGCACATCTTGTTCACATGACAGTAGCTGCACTCTCCTCACTGTTAGGCATTCTGCCCGCGTCTTCCCTGTTTTCCCATTTCTGTTTGACTGTCTTCCTACTCTTTCCTGCCTTTTATACTTCTGAACATTTGAGACAAATGCTGCTCTATTGGTCTCGTATGGTTAATTATTGTAAGGAATGTGTTTCTCAGAGGTGTCACTGTTTACTGTATCAGTGTGTTATTAATTGATGAGTAGGTTAAGTTCCAGGTTTAAAGGATGTTTAAGGTCTAGAGTCATCAGAGGTTCCACTGGTCTTTATAAGCCAGTAAGTCTGATTGTGTTCATTATGTAAAAGTTGTTGCGTTTTCCTTCCACTCTGTCTAGGACCTTCCATTATGATCCCAATCAGAGCAGCTGATAATGGGAGCCGTGCCCTGGTTCCTCTGGCCTCAGGCGAGTGGAAGCTCTTGGTTCATATGGTCCATGAGGCAGGTGTTTGGACTGATGCTTGATTTAAAAACAAACAAATAAACAGTAGTGGTCTTATCAAGAACAAACTGGAAGGAGGGTAGAGAGAATAGTGCAACAATGAATGAATGGAAACCCAAAATCTCTGTAAATGTTTATGAAAATTAATAAAATATAATTATAGAAAAAAAACAAAAAAAAAGTAATGGTCTTACATAACATTTGTCTTTTGTGATTGACTTATTTCACTCAATATGAAGATCTCCAGGTTCATTCTTGTTTTGAGATGTATCAGATTCTTCATTATCCTTTAAAGTTTATACTGTTCTATTTATTGGGCTTAGAGCCTGAATATTGCACTAGAGCACCGAGAAGCCAAAGCAAAGGGAAGAGATTGAGAAATTAAGGAGAAGAACAAAAGATTTCAAAGGGCAGCATGAGAAGACAAAGCAAACTGTTATAATGTGCAAAGAACCAGAGCCTGAAAATCAAAAGCGCCAAACTTAACTCCACATTTCTTAGGCTGAAAAAACTAAAGCATAAATTCAAGCCTGAGTTGCAATACTTAAGGATGCTATGGGCAGAATATTGAATGATCCAAGAAGTATTAAAAGAAGATGGAGTATACAGAGTAACTGTACCAAAAATAATTGGCTGACAAAGAATTTAAAAAAATAACATATGATCAAGAGGCAGTTGTGATGAAAGGAGGAAGTTCAGGCTGCTCTGAAAGACTTGAAAAAAATTAAATCCCAGGAATTGATGGCATACCAGTTGACATAATTCAGCAACCAGATGCTGTGCTGGATGTGCTCACGAAGTTGTGCCAAGAAATCTGGAGGACAACCACTTGGCCAACTGACTGGAAGAGAGCCATATTTATTCTTATTTCAAAAAAAAGATTACCTACAGAGTGTAGAAATTACTGTAAAATATTACTCATATCACACACAAGCAAAATCCTGCTGAAGATTATCCAGAAACAACTGGAACGATACATTGAGAGAGAACTACCAGAAATACAAGCTGGGTGTAGGAGAGGCTATGGCACTAGAGACATTATCTTCAATGTCAGATAGATCTTGGCAGAAAGAAAAGAGTACCAGAGAGATATCTATTTGTGTTTCGTTGACTGTGCAAAGGCGTTTGACTGTGTTGATTACAACAAATTGTGGCTAACCTGAGGAGAATGGGAATCCCACTTGATTTTACTTATGTGAAACCTATACTTGGACCAGGAAGTAGTCCTCTGAATAGAAAAGGGAAGCTGCATGGTTCAAAATCAGGAAAGGAGTGTGTCAGGCATGAGTCCTGTCTTCATACCTTTTCAACCTATACACAGAGCAGATCATTCAGGAGGCTAGCTTTATGAGGAGAAATGTAGTATTAGGATTGGAAGAAGACTCATTAACAACCTATGTTATGGAGATGACACAACCTTGCTTACTGAAACTCAGGAGGACCTGAAGCACTTGCTGCAGAAGGTCAGGGACTCTAGCCTTCAATATAGATTGAAGCTCAACATCAAGAAGACAAAGATTCTCAGTACTGGGCCAGTTGACAGCACCATGATAGATGGAGAAAAGATTGAGGTTGTTAGCAATTAAAGCTTGCTCGGCTCCACAATCAATACTCTTTAACACTAGAAGTTGGGAAATAAAAAAACTAATTGCATTAGGTAGATCAGTTGTCAGGGGCCTTTCCAGAGTACTGAGAAGCAATGATGTCAGTTTAGAGACTAAGGTACACCTCATCCAGGTCATGGTCATCACAGTTACTTGCTGTGCATCAGAGAGCTGAACAGTGACTTAATGAGGACAGAAAAAGAATTGATTCCTTTGCATTGTGCTGGAGAAGATCTTAACCTACCATGGACTGCCAAGAAAACAAACAGAACTTTCTTGGAGAGGGTGAAATCAAGTTTCTCCTTGGAGGCTAGGATTTTGAAGCTCCATCCCACATACTTTGGGCATATGGACAGGAGGGACTGATCCTTGGAGAGGGACATTATTCTCGGAAGGGTGGAGGGACATTGCAGGAAAGGAATACCCTAGAAGAGATGGATTGATACAGTAACTGGGGCAATGGGAGTAGGTATGTTGGAGTCAGTGAGACTGGCTCAGGACAGGGCAGGATTCAGAGCTTTTTATACATAGGATCCCAGTGTGTTACAGGAAGCTTGACAGCACATAACAACATCATTGAGCTTATTTAGTAGAGTGTGTGCATCTGTTTATCTGTTGACAAGCATTTGAATTGTTTCCATCATTTTGCTATTGTGAATAATGTTGCAGTGTGCAACATTAGGTGTACGTGTATCTGTGCCATGACTCTCTGTTTCTCTGATTTGTACCTATAAGTGGAGTTGCTGAATCATTTATTTTTTTCCTGTCACTTTTTAAAGGAGTATTATAGATTTGTCCACAGTGACTACCATTTCACAAACCCATCAGCAGTTTCAGTCTCCTCATGCCCTTATGAGCATTTGTTATTTTCATGGTTTGCATTTTGTTTTTTTAATTATTGCTGGGATGAGGTTGTTTCTCATTGTTTTACTTTTAATCTCTAATGACTAATGATTGTGTGCATCTGTTCATGTATTTCTTTGCTGCCTGAATATCTTTTCTTGGTGAAGTATGGTATTTTTGTAAATTGATATTATTATAATTTTAAGTGCAAGAAAGAAACTACGTGAGCATCTCTTTTGTAATTAAATTACTCAATGTTTAACATACTGTGTATATTAAGCATTCATTTCCTTTTAAGAAATTACTAAATAAGACTTTTATATAAGTATAAATTTTATTCCTTTAAGTTCTTTTGCTGTTAAATATGAAAAAGACAAAAGGGGGTTTTAGAGTGACAAGTATATATCCATACTGTTCTCTGGAAGTACATAGAAACTTGTAGTTCTTTGGAAATTAATACAGATTAGAATCATTATCTTTTTTTTTAATTTTTATTGTATTATTTTTATGTCCCGTCAAATCAGATCTGACTGGTACAGTAGGGGATTGCCCCCTCCTTCTCCAGCAGAGCATAGAATCATTATCTTAATCCCTCATACCTTGGTAGGTTTTATAACAATATAGCATTTATAAAATCATCAAAGGAGTTTTAGACATTTAGAATTTTTTAAAAAATGAACTTTTGAGTTTTTAAGCCTCCCTCTTTTGTTTCAAACATTCAGGAGGAACAGATACAATTTAAAAGGCGAAAACAAAGGTGTAACTAATATAAGCAAAAGTGTAGTGAACAAGGAATCTCTCCATGGGCTAGAAAATGGTACATACAGAGGAACACATAACTCCGTATACCTGGACAAAGCCTGGTTTCTGTTGAATGTTGTTGTCATGTTATGTAGACATTAAATCACTGGACAATAATATTCTGTAGAATAACAAGAACTAAAATAGGAGTTGGGGAACTAAATGAATTGAATCCAGACCCACTGCATGAAACCACAAAGGGATGGAGTAGGGCTCCCTCCTTCATGAAGAGAACTTGAAGGATGATATACAACCTATTACTACTATCTAAAACTGTGACTTTATATCCATCTAGTATACTTTGGACTAAGAGGTCCTGTTCCTTGGAGAGGGACATGATGTTGGGAAGGATGGAGGGTCGGTGAAGGAGAGGAAGATTGACACAGTGACTGTGTGGATTGACATGGTGACTGCTGTGATGGGCTCTTGTGTGTCATGAAGTGTGAGGATGACACAGGATAGGACTAGGCTCAGAGCTTTTATTAATAGGGTCACTGTGAGTCGTACTCAACTCGATGACACTTAACAATAACAACAACCACCACTGATGAGGAAGAAAGAATCATCAGTTTTTGTCGAAGATTGAATTTATTGGGTAAGTGAGGATAATCACATCAGAGTTTTCTTCTAAGATAAATGTTATTGGATCAGTGACAAACACTGAAGCCCACTTGAGTCACTATGAACAAGATCTTGACTTTTCAGTGTAAGATCAGGCCTCTCCTGAAGGGCCTGGGGAGGTCTCAACGCCTAGGGACTTAATTTGTTTATATTTCCTACACCTAGTATATTGTAGCTTCCTAAAAGAAATGGACTGATATATAAAAGAGGTTATATTTGAAACTTTGAGCTAAAGAAGAATCCATTAGGATTAAACAATAGAGTAATATTTTAAGTTTTTGTTCCTGTTTTAATGTATTGATTTGGTTCTAAAGTTTTATAACTTTTTAGACTCTAGATCTCGTTAGAGCATTACAAGATCTAGAGAATGCCGCTTCAGGTGATGCAGCAGTTCATCAGCGGATCGCTTCACTGCCTGTTGAAGTCCAGGAAGTATCCCTACTAGATAAAATAACAGGTAAGAGCAGAGAATATCATCAGAAGGCTTTGTGAAGTGGGGATGAGGGAAAAGCATATGGCATTGTTTTTGTTGTGTAACAGTTTACTGTTTTGTGCTTTGTTTAGACAAGGAATCTGGTGAAAGGCTTTCTAAAATGGTTGAGGATGCCTGTATGTTGCTGGCAGATTACAATGGCAGATTGGCTGCAGAGATAGATGATAGGAGACAGCTCACCCGCATGCTGTCAGATTTTCTTCGTTGTCAAAAGGAAGCCCTTGCTGAGAAAGAGCATAAATTGGAAGTGCGTATGACCTTTTCCTTCTTTGATCCTTATTTATTTATTTTTTTTAGTAGAAATTTTAATATATCTTAATACGCTTCACATTTTTCATTCTGTTGTACATAGACTTTTTCAGATGTGGCCCAGGTAAGCTTCTTGCATCAGTGGATTTCCTATTTGAACCTCCCAGAGTAAACTCAGAAATTAGGAATAACCTGAAAGGTTAACATTTTAAAATTATTCAGATAGACTTCCATATAATGATAATTTATCTTAAGCCCTAATCGTAAAATGTTAAATAGCAATTGATATAAATTCAGATGGTAATTGCAGTAAATTGTTAATAGATTAATCCCTATCCTAATTTTAATACTTTTTTAGATAAAATGTTAAAACATTAAAAGATTTTTTGGAGCATTGAATTTGTTGTGAATATGCCAATCTTCCTTTCCTCTTAATAATTCATTGGTTTTGCTGCTAGAGTAATCTTCAAATACTGTCGTAGTGCACCTTAATAGTCTTCCTGTGACTCACATACACCCTTGACTGAGTCATTGCTGTTTTCTAATTTGAGTATTGATGTTGTGGATGTCTGAGAATGCAGGGGATTAAAAAATTAAAGAAGCAGCATTCATGTTCAAGTAGAGCACACATTGTTGGGGGGGAATCATGTTGTTGTTATGTACTTTTTCAGAGGCAGTAAATTGCACAGAAGGAAATTTGCTCATCTTTCTCCTGTGGTGTAGCTAGTGGTGAATGGCATACCTTTAGGTTGGCATGCAACTCCTTACCTCTAAGCCACCTGAGCTCCCTTGGATGAACCATATTTGGTCCTTTTTAAAAAAGTCTTTCCATTAACTAATTCTTGTTTAAATTGTTAACAGTTGTAGAAATATCTTATTCTATATAAGATAATTTGTAATTTGTTTGGATCCCTTTATTCATAGACAGTAAATTTGTAGATGTGCCATGATACTACCTCCATTAAATTGCTTTTATTCATTATTGATTAGTTCTAGAGTCAGCAGTCTCTAATTGTACCAGAGGTGATGCTTAGATTGAATTGTTCTACCAGTGAAAGCAGTATCAGCAGTATTCCTTCAGTATCAGCAACAGAACCCAACCCTCCCACCCCCCATTTTCAGCTATTCTTGTAGTGCTTCGTGTTCTTACTTTCTCCTCTGCTCACATACAGCATAGGCCCACAGGGAAGAGAGGTTGGCATCCGTGGAGGAGTTGTCCCCTCTATGAAAAAAGATAGATTTGTTTACAAGACAAATTTGATTATTAACTTGCCAGAGTTTGGTCTCCTGATAGAACATCAGTCTTATTATTTGTTTTATTAACAGAATTAAGGGTAAGTAATGCCATATACAGATTTTTGTCTTTAGTCTTGAAATGATTTCTTTAACTTTTGTTGAGCTTCTGTTTCAGGTATTGGACATGGGCGTATCTTCTAATGATGCCATCATCCATTAGCATATTTTTTCCTGCTAAAAATAAATATCAAACTCCAAATCTTGTATTGTCTCTTGTTTTTGAAAATTGAAGATTGCAACTTTATTCCTCTGCTCTGTTTTGCTTCCTTACTTGTGACTCAACTCACTTAAATCACTGAGTATAAGTATAGAGAATTTACATATACCATGTTAAGTGTAGACGTAGAGCAGATATAACCACCAACACATTTATTTCCCAGTTCCTCTAATGCCTTCCACTCAGATTTCATTGTTGATCATGATCTTAGATAATAGTGAGACTCTGATAATAACATTTACCATGTGTCAGGTACTGTTCTAAGTTCTTTGCGTGTAATAGGTCAATTAATCTTAACCCCAGTCCTTTACTGTAGGAATTAGTATTATCCCTATTTTACAGATAAGGAAATGCAAGCATGAGGAGAACAAATAATGTACCCACAAACACAAAAAACCCAGGGAATCTACCTCCAGAGTCAGATTAATGCTCTACATCAAAAAGACCTAATTGTGCCGGTTTTTACATAAACTGATAAAGATTATATCAAAAACTAAAGGCCTCTCCATCCAATCCTTTCTCCTTCTTTGTTCACATGTAATCACTGTATTAAAGTGATCTAGAAATTTTAGTGTTGTTGAACCCCACTAGATTGTATTGTACTTTAAAGAAACCACCAAATTATGTTTAAACAATTTTTTTACAGGAAGTATTTTTATAGGGAAGCTCTGGTGGCTTAGTAGTAAGGAATCATGCTGGCAGCACATAGGTATATGGTGCAACTCCACCATCTGCTCCACGAGAGAAAGATGGGCAGTCTCCTCCCACGTGATTTACTGCCTCTGAAAACCCATTTTAGGGTCAGCTATGCTTCAGTTTTGACTCGATGGGTGCACACCACCAAACTCAAACACATTCCAGTGTCTGATCATACATGAAATGTTTTCTCTCTTAACTTGAAAGTTATTCCACAAAACTCTGTATAAATTCCATCTTGGAAGTGCTTTGTTTGAAGATGTGAAAGTTACTCAAGACAATTAGACATTTTTATAGCAAGTTGATGGTATCACTTTGAAGTTGCGTCGGAAAGCTCCGAGTTCATACTTTCCGTATTAGTGGATAGTTTTTGTAAGCTTCGCATAGTTTTCAATTGTTGGGGTCATTTTTGAACATCATTAGAAGTTGATCAGATATTGATACATGATTAGTGATAGTGTTTTAGTAAAATAATAAACTTAAAGAATCAGTTCATCAGTTGGATATTTTCTTAGGGAGGCCACTATTAAAGTATTTGCAGTGAATGAAACCATGAAATAGATTTTTTTTAAAAATCTGTACATAACTAGTCCCTCTGTGTGAAGCTAGTAACTAATATGTTTCTGAGGCCACGAGTAAATTTTTTTTAGGGCAATAAAAATTAATTTCAGAATCGTATTTCACGATTAAGTTGAAAGTACTACATAAAGTTACTTACGTGAGTTCTTATCCCTTATCAATAACCTTCGGAATGCAGATGACACAACCTTGCTTGCTGAAAGTGAGGAGGACTTGAAGCACTTTCTGCAGAAGATCAAACATGGATTGCATCTGGATGTAAAGAAAACTATAACCCTTACCACTGGATCAGTATGTGATATCAAGATAGATGAAGAAAAGATTGAAACTGTCAGTGAATTCATTTTACTTGGCTCCACAGTCAGTACACTTGGTATCAGGTGATCAGGAGAGGTACTTGCATTGGGGAAGTTTGCAGTCAGCGACCTCTTCAAATTACTGAGGAACAGTGAGTGATGTTTGAGAACTATGGTGCATTTGATTCAGACCATGGTCTTTTTAGTCATTTGCTATGTATATGAGAGCTGGATAATAACTAAGAATGACAAAAGAAAAATTGATACAATTGAGTTGTATTGGAGGAGAGCACTGAACATCCCATGAGCTGTTAAAAGAACAGAGATGTGAGCATGTTGCTAGGAGAGGCTCTTCCTTGGAGAAGGACATTGTGCTTGGAAAGGTCGAGGCAGATCAGAAGACAGGGAAACCCTCAACCAGGTGGATTGACAGGTGGTGTGTCAGATTGTGAGGTTAGCACAGGATAGGACAGGGTTCACATCTGTTCATATGGTCACTGAGTCATACTCGACGGCACTTGACAACCACCACAACCTGATGAATTAGAAGGCATTCAAGAATAGAGGAATTAAAATGATATTTTTACTTTTATATTTTTTTGGAGACAAGGCAATATAAAATTACAAAATGCTTACATATTCAGTAGTGTGTCTAATTTTGGTACTCAGATATTTTTCATAATACGTTTGGTATGAGAAAGCATACTTTAAAAACATGTCTTTCATTATTTTAAAATTAGGTATTTGAAAAATTGTTTAAAAGATAGACATTTATGAAGTGTCTTATAGCTAGATTGGCCTCTCAAATTGTCAGTGTCTGTAGGAAACAGAAAATCATGATTTGTTCTCTTTTTAAAGAAGAAATTATATCAGAATCTCATGTTCTACAAAGCAGTTTTGGAAAACATGTCAGAGGATCAATATTTTTCTTTCACAATCTTATGTCTGTATATTTGCATCTATCTCATTCTGAAAAGGATTGCATAGTATTTTTAGTATGATTGTTGTGTAATTTGTTGAAGATGATCTCCCTTCTTATGGTGTTGTGTTGCTGATAGTTTTGTATATTACAGATAGTGAACATCTTGATGATACAGATTTGAATAGTATACTTGCAGAATTTATTCCCAGTATAGCTGAGTCCAATTAAAGTGATACTTAGATTTGGTAGTGAATGTCAAAACCTTTAAATACATCTTTGCTTCTGTTCTAAGTTGGTAATCTTTGTAATTTTTACGCATCTATCTTAATAGTATATACAGGATTTCATTGACCATCATTTAAATATATTTACTATTTTGTTTCTCATGAAAATTCCCTGTTCGTATTCTTTTTCTATTTGGCTCTAACTTTATATAGTAAACTTTTTCTTTGGGTTTACAGATTCTGGATATATTTAAAGGTACCTCTTCAATTTGTATTTATACACATATCTTATTTTCCTGCGTTTTTCTTCATGAAATAGTTTGTCCAGTTAGAATTTTTTACTTGCATTAAACTGATTGTTATTTGTAGCATAAAATTAGTATTTTCAAAATGATTTTTTAATAAAATGTCCCCAGAACTATTTATTAATAATTAATCAGGGACTCATTTTACAGCTGTTTTAAAGTACCATTTCTGCCATACTGAACTCCTTATTCATGGGGATGAGTCCTTTTTCTGTCCCACTGGTCCATTTGTTTTGTTCGTACTAGTTGCTGTTGAGTGTGCTCTTCTCAAGGATACCTTCATTTATAATAAGTTTTGAGGAGTCTTGCACTGTCTCCACTGTTGCTATTCTTGTAGGCCACTATGCGGTCCATATTCTTTGCTAATATCACAATTCAAGTAATTTCTCTTCATCTTTTTCATTGTCCAGCTCTCACATGCATATGACAAGACCATGACTTAGGTAAGGTGCACCTTAATCAT